AGCTTGAGTATCTGTTTTGCATGCCTCCTGGATGCCTCTCTAGGGAGGTGTTTCAGCCATGTGCCACTGGGAGGAGTCCTCCGGGAAGACCCAGGACATGCCGAAGGGACTATGTCACTCGGCTTGCTTGGGAACACCTTGGGAGTGTGTATACACTCACTTTTTATTAGGTATTTTATTAGGCCATTTTACTAGCTACACCTGTCCAACTGTTTGTTTATGCAAATTTCTAACTAGCCAATCACATGGCTGCAACTCAATGCATTTAGGCATGTAGACATGGTCAAGACAATCTGCTGCAGTTCAGACTGAGCATCAGAATAGGGAAGAAATGCGATTTAAGTGACTTTGAACGCGGTATGGTTGTTGGTGCCAGACGGGCTGGTCAGAGAATTTCAGAAACTGCTGATCCACTGGGATTTTCTTGCACAACCATCTCTAGGGTTTACAGAGAATGGTCTGAAAAAGAGAAAATATTCAGCGAGCGGCAGATCTGAAGGCACAAAAGTCTTGTTGATGCCAGAAGTCAGAGGTGAATGGCCAGACCGGTTCAAGCTTATAGAAAGGCAACAGTAACTCAAATAACCACTTGTTATAATCGAGATATGCAGAAGAGCATCTCTGAACACACAACACGTCTAACATTGAGGCGGATGGGCTACAGCAGCAGAAGACCACACCGGTTGCGGTTGAGGCTACAGTTCAAATAGGCTCACTAAAATTGAGCAATAGAAGACTGGGGAAAAAGTTGCCTGGTCTGATGAGTCTCGATTTCTGCTGCGACATTTGGATGGTGGGGTCAGAATTTGGCGTCAACAACTTGAAAGCATGGATCTAACCTGCCTTGTATCAACGGTTCAGGCTGGTGGAGGTGGTGTAATGGTGTGGGGGATATTTTCTAGGCACACTTTAGGCTCATTACCAATTGAGCAACAAGTCAACAACACAGCCTACCTGAGTATTGTTGCTGACCATGTCCATCCCTTTATGACCACAGTGTACTCCTCTTCTGATGACTACTTCCAGCAGGATAACGCACCATGTCATAAAGCGGGAATCATCTCATACTGGTTGCTTGAACATGACAATGAGTTCACTGTACTCAAATGGCCTCCACAGTCACCAGATCTCAATCCAATAAAGGATCTTTGGGATGCCTTGGAATGGGAGATTTGCATCATGGATGTGCATCTGAAAAATCTGCAGCAATTGCATGATGCTATCATATCAATATAGACCAAAATCTGTGAGGAATATCCAGTACCTTGTTGAATCTAAGCCACGAAGGATTAAGGCAGTTCTGAAGGCAAAAGCGGGTACAACCCAGTACTAGTAAGGTACATAATAAAGTGCATATGTGTGTGTCTGTGTGTATATGTATATATTTATCAAGTTCAAGTTGTACCAATGTAGTTGCTATCAACAAAAATTTTCATGACACCATTATAATGGCCTCGTGACAGTCATGTTTATGACAGATATTTGATAAGTAATATTGTCTTGGTAATGTCAAGCTGTCATGACAAATACAGGTTGTGATTGTATTTGTTTATGTACAGTTGTCATAGGAAATACACCTCATACAATGTCATGTTTGAGTTATAAAAATAACAAAATTGAGCTAATGGCACTTCATGATGGTTGTCATAAACATTTATTGTCATGTCACAATTATAAATGTTTCTTAAAAGTCTTACGGACAACATGTTCAGGTAAAGTATTACCCTGAAAGGCTTTAATTCATTTAAAGGATGAATTTATGATGGGTCTTATGCAACACAATCTCACGGCAATTCGTAACTTTTTCATTTAGTGGCTAATTCGTACGATCTAATTCGTACATTTTAGTAAGATTTGCTCATCCCCCAATGACGGTTGGGTTTAGGGGTGGGGTTAGGTGCCACGCCTCCTTTTTAAAATCGTACAATTTCTTACGTCTGAACTCGTACGAATTTGTACGAATTAGCCACTAAACTGCCAAAATGTAAAATACTTACGTTTTCTCGTGAGATCAGGCTGGTCTTATGGGTTTGGAATGACAGTGTTTAAGCAAAATCCTAACTTTTGAGTTCTCCTGTTTGCTGAAAACTTAGAAATTATGTCATGGACTGTTTGTTTGTTTATTATAAAATCCACTGCACTTTAACAGGTGTAACAAGGGCCAAGGGGAGTATTTAAAAGACTTTTTTATATTTTTAACCTGTTAACATCCACCCAAAATGTCTAACAACCCCTTGAAAACAGATTAAAATGGTTCAGAAAAAAAGCGTCATTCAAATTTGAAGCGTTTATTCATTCATAAATAATGAACTATTTGTTTTCTTTGATCATTCTAGGTGCTGAAGCCACTTACTGAGCAATACATGGAAGAAAATGTCCGACAGACTGTTGTGAACTCGATAAGAGCCTCGCTAACAGATCAGGTGACACAAGCTACAAAGTTGAAGACCAACTGACAGTTTGCTCTGCCTTATCTGCCCAGTGTTTGAACAATCACTGCTTTTATATTGTGTAGTTTTTGTGATGTTTGGTCATGTAGACTCTAACCAAAGTTTACAGCGTTATTTACCCTGACCAATAAACACACCAACAAACAGACTTGCATTATAATCTCAACGGACATCATTACAAATGCTTCTAAATTCAGGTTTAAGTGATCAGGTATATGTGCAGCTTTGAATTTCCCTTGGCTAGAGGGATTATTCAGGACAGCACCGCAAATGTTTTACAATCTGTAAGTTAATTGGGACACTGTATTTCCTTTTGTTGAACAGTTGAATTCCAGTTCTCTGTGGATAATTTGGTTATCATTTTCCATTTAGACTTCTACCGCATAGTTACTTGGTGTAAAAACCTAATAGCCTATTTGCTGGATTTCTTGTGAGGTATTTTTAGAGCCTTTAAGGAATGCTGAAGTTGTAAATCCATCCAAGACACCCCTCTGCTGGGCCTCTTTCTGTACAGTGTTGTTGTAGACTGTATAATAGCCTCATGCATGTAAATGAGTGTACAAATATCAGCTGTAGATCGTACGAGGATTTCATTTACAGACAATGTTTGGAGATGATTATGAATGTGTCTCCCCAGTTGCCTTTTGTTGTGCTTCTCCAAGTTCAGAGCACCTTCCACTGAGCAGTTTTCTGACGCAGGAAGAGTGCTCATGAGATGACTTGATTGTCAATCTTTTAAAGGTTATGCCATTTAATTTATTTTTTAAACAATTAAAATATGTCAAATGTGTTTCTGGCTAGTTTGGAATTTTTGTGGGATTGCTTGATTTTGGTGTTTTTATTTTTTATATTTTATTTTATTAGATTTTTTATAGTAGCAATAAATACAGTACAATGATTCCAATTAAGAGAGTGTACATTTCCCATTGCTAAACATTTTTCAGTAACAAATAACAGTAACAATAAAATGGTAACAAATAATATCAATACTTAATATACAGTTGAAGTCAGAATTATTAGCCCCCCTGTTTATTATTTCCCCAATTTCTTTTTACGAAGAAAAGATTTTTATCAGCATATTTCTAATCATAATAGTTTTAATAACTCATTTCTAATAACTGATTAATTTTATCTTTGTCATGATGACAGTAAATAATATTTGACTAGATATTTTTCAAGACACTTTTATACAGCTTAAAGTGACATTTAAAGGCTTAACTGGGTTAATTAGGTTAACTAGGCAGGTTAGGGTAATTAGGCAAGTTATTTTATAAAGATGATTTGTTCTGTAGACAGTCGGAAATAAAATAGCTTAAAGGGGCTAATCATTTTGACCTTAAAATGGTGTTTAAAAAATTAAAAACTGCTTTTATTCTGGCAGAAAAAAAAACAACAAATAAGACTTTCTCCAGAAGAAAAAATATTGTCAGCCATACTATGAAAATTTTCTTGCTCTGTAAATCATCATTTAGGAAATAAATCAAAGGAGGGCTAATAATTTTGACTTCAACTGTACATAGGTCAGAGAGGGTCAAATCTTTTTTTATTAACTTAACTTTAGGTTATCATCATCTGTTAATTCCTAATCTAAAGAGATTATTAAGATGGGGAAGTGCAATGGGTTGTAAATTGAAAAATGTTTGTTCTGTGGATGGGAATTAGATAGATAGTAATATTTTTATATTTCCATGTAGATCAGATGGAGCAATCTAATGTAATCAGATTTTTCAAAATGCATTGATTTGAAGTCGAAGGGAGAATGTAATTTTTTCCATCACATAAATATTATATACTATTTCTAGCCATTCTTGAGTTTTGGGGATTCAGGAAGTAACCTCTGTCTTGTAATCGCTTTTTTTGTGTTTTATTTAAAGATAGAAAAAAAAGTATTCTTATATCAACTGGGCTTTAAAATTAAATCATCTATTTAATTTAAGTTCTGTAGGCCCAGAGAATATCAGTCTATATATCAGTTAAAAATTATTATTATTTTTCAATCATAAATTAGAAATTAGCAAAAAATAAATAAATAAAAAAATACAATTGAAGTCATTTCTAAACATAATAGTTTTAATAACTCATTTCTAATAACTGATTTATTTTATCTCTGCCATGATGCCAGTACATTATATTTGACTAGATATTTTTAAGACACTTCTATACAGCTTAAATCAGCATTTAAAGGCTTAACTAGGTTAATTAGGTTAACTAGGCAGGTTAGGATAATTAGGCAACTTATTTTATAGTGATGGTTTGTTCTGTAGACAGTCGAAAAAAAATAGCTTAAAGGGGCTAATAATTTAACCATAAAATGGTTTTAAAAAAATTAAAAACTGCTTTTATTCTAGCCGAAATAAAACAAATAAGGCTTTCTCCAGAAGAAAAAAACATTTTCATAAATACTGTGAAAGATGCCTTGCTCTGTTAAACATCATTTGGGAAATATTTAAAAAAGAAACAAGTTAGAGTATTGCAAATACTTTATCTCATAATCCAAAGAAATGCTGAACTAAAGTATTCAGTGAGATGATGGATGCTTTTGTTCATTTGACACTAACCAGGCGGAACTGGTTTAGTTCAAAACCATTTTTATAACGTCTTTTTCCAAGTGCTTAGCGTTGCCAGCATTAGACCTGTTGCCATGGTGACAGACATTTTAAAACATTTTAAACAATGAAGACTGAGTGGCACAGTAGGCTTCTGTTGCAGTCCGTTTGGAGAGACGTAATGCAAGTAAGGTAAGAACTCTGGAAGAAAGTTTCATTTTATCTTATTTAAAGTGCCTGTTGTTTCAAGTAAATCTCGGACGGCATTGTTTGAATGTTTGGCTAACTGACTTGCCTGAATACCTTACAGTACAAAGAAACTGACTTAAAATGGACTCTGATGTCGAGAAGATGAGAAAGTCTGTGCACAAGTGTAAACTTGATGGCATTCAAGACACCCAGCAGGACATAAACGGAGCAATTCCTGATCATTTGGACTCCCTTCAGCCAGAAACCACCAACAGTGAAATGCAGTCAGATGATAAAGAGCTTTTTAGACAGTGGAAGAAAGGACGACAGCTCCCATCTACTAAATCACAGCGTGCTGCAGGGGACGCTAGTCTTGAAAACAGGGTTTTCAAAATCCGCCAGGGTTTACTTCAAAAATCGAATGGAAATGTCACTCAAGATTTGAATGAGCAGGCAATTGAGTCCTTGCACAGAATTCTAGCAGGAGCAGATCTGATAAGGAAGGAAGAGGCTACGATGAGCATCCTTAAGTCGAAATATGATTTTCAGATGGATCATAAATCTGTACATCTGCCCTTTGGTTACCTGGTTAGATCCAATTCAACAAGGTCTGTTGAATGCTCCTCAAATCCACCCAAAGTTATTTTAAAAGAAATGTCAAAGGGCAGAGAAAAAGGCAGAGCAGACAAAAGTTCATCATTCAAGGGTAAACATTTCGACTTCTTCGAAGTTGTGAAGGAACAACTCCAACAGAAGGATTTGGAAAATCAACAAGTTGTCCGTATGTTTTTGGTGAAGCAACAAGAACTTAAAGATATGAAAGAAATGTTAAAGCGTAATGACAAAGAAACCCAACTTCTAGCTGAAAAGCTGAAATGCGAAGAGCAGAAAAAGACAGAGGTCACCACCAGGTTCGACCACATTTGTGAAGACATGAAGAAGGAACTTGATGAAGCTAAGAGTAACAACAAAACCTCAATGAAGCAGCTGAAGGCACTGATGGAAAAATACGAGCGCCTCAAAACACGTGCCAAGACATTGAAGGACCAACTCAGCGAGGAGCTCGTCGAGAAAAAGAACTGTCAGAAATCCTTAAAGAAGCTTCAGCAGATGTCTCAAGAGCTGCTAACCAAGCAGAAACTTTTAGAGGAGCAAAGGGATGTAGCAGGACGAGATCTTGCCTTGTGTAATGAGACCCTGCAGATGATGGACGCCGAGCACAAGAAGAACATCAGCGTCATTCAGAGACTTGAGGAGGAGGTGTCAGCCTTGAGAAGAGAATCTGCAAACTTCAGAGATCATTTACGCAAAGCTCAGGAGAAGAACAAGGAGCTCATTCAGTCAAGCCGCTCTAGAGAGTCTGACCACGAGAAGAATGTTAAACAGCTTCAGGACAGGATTGAAAATCTGAACGTTGAATTGGAGAAGTGCCAAACTGAACGAGACGTGACGCATCAGCAGATGGAGACTATGAAATATGAATCGAAGTTGATTCACAACAAGCAGAGAGTCGAGATACTTCAACTGCACGAGCAGCAAAAAGCCTATCTGCAGCAAAATGAAGCTTTGAGAAGAGAGGCTGAGAGTTTGATGGAGATGGTCAACAAACTTAAGACAGACAAGCAAGTCCTGGCGGAGAATATGGAGGCGATTCATAAAGATAAGATGGTGTCGGAGATGGCAAGCACCAAGGAAGGAGAACGACTCAAAGAGGCCATTGGTTTGCTGGAGCGAGAGAGAGAAGTGCTGTTAGCAGAGATGGAAGACTTGCGTAAGGATTACCTTGGGATCAGTGACAGGATCACGCTGAAAATGGGCCACATTGATGCAGCTGATCCTCCGATGACCATGACTGACATCACTACAAGTCGTCAACGAAATGCACTTAAGTTCTCTCCAACTGATGATGGTATGTTTCTGTTTCCTAAAATATGCGTAGGTTAATCTCACACCTTGGGGCTGTTTCAGTAAGGAGGTTCAACCGACTCAGAGTTTAAACTTGATTTATCGCGAGATTAAAAACTCAGAGTTAGCATCCGAGTTAGGTCAATCAATTTTGAGAAGGCCAACTCGGAGTTAAGCGCACACACCACGACTATAAAAATCTATCGAGCGCAGATATTAAGAGTTAACATGGCAATATCTTAAAAAGAGATCAGCATTTCTTTCTCTAGCTTGATGTGCTCACGCACAGTAAAGCTGCACGGTTCTGTCTAAAAGGAGAATCACAATTTTTTTTTTTTTTTTGCCTAAAATAATGATCACGATTTTTTCAGGATTCTGTAGATGTGAAATAAAGGTTAATATGAGTGGGCTATTATTATCGTTATGTGGTAAAACAGCAATAGGCTTTGTGTAGCTGTACTGTTGGTTAAAATGCTAAATTTTGTATAGACTTGGTGGACTTCAACAGACTTTACATTAATCCTGGGGCCTCATGTATGAAGACTTGCTTGGAAATCATACTAAAACATTGCGTACGCACAAAGCTGTAAATGTGCGTACGCAGAAAAAAATTCAGATGTATGAAACACTGCGTATGCCGAATCCCACGCATATTCTTTGTACATCTGAATGAACGTGAAACTGAGCGCAACATGCACGAGCGCAAAACCCCTCCCTGCCTCCTCCCCCGTATGAATATGCTAATGATTCTACTTTGGCAAAACCCAACGAAAAAGCAAAGGCAAAAGCAAGCAAGAAGAGAAACTTTGAACAGAATGTGAATTGGAGGTGCTTTCAGAGGTAGACCGGAGAAAAACAGGTTTATTTGCAAGTTTGTCCTCAGGAATTAACAACAAAAGAAAAAAATAGAGTGGGAGAGTTTAGCTGATGCGGTTAACACAGTTGGGTCTAAACATCGCACTGAGTGCATTAAAAAAAGAAATAGTGAGATGTAAAGGTGTAAAATTTTGTAGTGTCTTTAACAGCCTGCGTGGCGCAGTTCGTTAAATGCATGGCAATATGTTTACACATGTTCAAGCATGAACTCGGTTCGAATCCAGCGTCTGATGAATTTTCTCTTTTTTTCCCCCGCTACATATCAGATTTTGCCTATACTCTTCATCATCATGAGGAAGACAAGTTGGAATCATTAATAAGTTTGTGCATCATATTTTATTTGCACATTTATTACATGGAAATATTTCTGATTCACTCATACAAATTCATCCTCAGATGGTGCCTTTATAGCAATGTGCGTGCAGTAGATGGCTCAGATTACATTGGGAAAACAGGCGACAGCTGCAAATTGCGCTTTAATGCTTGGATGGTCAACTGTATGGTACGGAAACCTTATATACTAGACATGCGGATGAACCCGTCTCATACAGCTGAGAAGACACTTTGTAGAGAGCAATTTAACACAAATGCCTGTAGGAGTCGTCAATGTAAATAAAACAGACACGCACAAAAAATGTGCATACGCCAGCCATGAAGTTGGCGTAGAGCTGCGCACATTTCCACGTTCATTTCATCGTTAGTAAATCTAAACGTGATCGATTCTGAGCGTGAAATCTGGCGTACGCAAAGTTTTTGTGCGTAAGCAGCATTGATGCATGAGGCCCCTGGTCATTAATGCTGATGATAATTCTGATGTTGAATTATTGTGTTTGAGACATTTTCTTACAATCTGTGATTTTCTGCTTAAAATCTGTCACTGACGTAATTTTCGTGAATACGGAAGGCTGGGTGGGTATATATATATTTTTTTATATTTCGGCGGGTTTTGGATACTTTTTGGGCTGGAATCAGTCAGCCACATCTGACAACACTGTGCACTTTCAGTTTCATTTTCACTGCTAAGAGCGGTTCACTTCCCGCGCGCCTCCCAAACGATCACTCTGTGCCACAAACTGATGTTATTTACAACTTTATTACCTGTTATTCACAGCCCATGCAGGTTCTGTTCACTAAAGTAAACTTCATTTAGAGGTTCCCGCCCTCCCTGTGGTAACAGCTCACGGTCAGCTCAGATCACGTGTGATTTTGCGGTCGCAAATACATTACGTGAAGACAGAAATGACATTTTTGAGGACTCTTTTAACACTTTTTGGAGGTGTCCACATTGCTGAACAACGTATGTAAAACAATGTGAAGGCTTGTGGGGCCACCATTGCTTCTCTCCTGAACTTGAAAATATGATTGACAGAATCGTAGAAATGCTGGATTAAGATCGTCTAGGGGGTTGCAATCTTTTTACGATTAATTGTTCAGCTCTAATGCACAGTTACAGCAAATATGACCATATATTAAAAAAAATATAACCACTGCATCAGTGAAACTGACAGTTAGCGTGGGAAAACAGCTGCTCAAGTTAATTAATAATTAAATTTTACATCTAAAGTATTTAACTAAGTATAATAAAAAAGTAATGTAATGTGACGTTTTTTTACATTTTTACTTTGAAAAAGTGGGGAATTGGCCGTAGTTTTGAAGTTATTTCAGATGTAATTGCATTAAATGACATAAAATAGGCTACTGCATAGTTTCTACTACAAAATTGATAAAACAAAAATGCGGATAACCTTAACTCAACGTTCAGTGGAAATGTTTAACTGAAGGTTCCCACTTTTACACACGTTTATCAGTTTTAATAGATTATAAAAGGGCACTAGTGTGTAGCTGCGTCCCAAATCGCATACTTATGCACTATTCTATGCCATTTTGTAGTATAAATAGTGTCAGTAGTGTGTTCACACTGAAAACTTAAAAAATAATAAGTGCACTTTAATTACCCGGATGATGCACTCATTCAGCTGCTAAAGTGAAGTGTGGAATGATGGACACTTCACGCACTCAACGACCACAGGTTTGCTTACGTAGCGGAAGGGGCGGAGCTATCGGACGCACATGTTGGATAACTTTATTTATTTTGGATGGTAAAAGTAAAATTGTCCTACGAGAGTGATTATAGCACCTCCCGATGGTGAATGCGGCAATACTCACGGCAGGTATTATTTAATAATTCGGTCGTTTATTTCACTGATTTGGCAACCGTCATCAGGGAAACAGTTTAAATTTCCGCTTAGTAAAAAAACATTAGTGTGCCATTTGGGACGACAATACATACATATACTACCCTGTTGAGTGTGTAAGTGCATAAGTACATAGTGCATGAGTGCATAGTGTATAGTGTGCCATTTGGGACGCAGCTATAGTTTTTACAACGAGTAATAATCCCATTATTCTAGTTACAGCACATGTCCCTGTCGAAGGTCAGTGAATTTAAGATAATTACTAAAAAGGACCAGCCATTCTCCTACTGACTTTGTTCTTTGTGTGACTAAAATGTAGGTAATAGCTGTTTCCATCCAAAAATGCGAATTAAAATTGTGCAAAACTGGAATATCACATGCAAGACGTGCAAATAAAGCAGCGTTTCCATTCAATAAATCAAAGAAAACAAAATCATCACTTCCTGATTAACTGGCGCCAAATATCAACAGTAAAATCAGAATTTACAGCAGTAGAAGAAACTGCGTCAATCTTTTTCTTTATTTAATAAATGACAATGAGATGACAATGCTGACACACAATGAATGCGTGATGGCGTTTGAAGCTTTAGACGCAAAGAACAGACGCTCTTAACACCCTCCAGACGCACTGGAGGTCTAATAAAGGGTGGGCCATTTATATGGATACATCTTAATAAACCTTTTGGGAACTTCACAAGGAAACAATGGTGTGCTTGGTTTTAAACATAACTTTACTCTTTCATGAGTCATTTACAAGCCCCCTCACACATACTAATGATTTTATTAAGGTGTATCCATATAAATGGCCCGCCCTGTATAATAACATTAATACTGAAACGGTTCAGGCGTTTTAGAATGACCAAAACAACATTTCAGATGTGCTACAGTGTGCTCAGCCTGCTGGTTTATCCATTCACACACATTGTCATCATCAACTTATGATGATCTTATGACGAACCTTTTTTAATACACATACTGGGATTTGTTCAGTAAAACTGTTTTCATCGCAGTTTATGTGCATCATTTCTTATTGAATAAAAAAAGTTAACCTACTCAGTTATGCGCATGTTTTTTTATAGCCTATTTTCAAAAGTTCTGTGCATCATGACGTTTCCATCAATTGTTTTTATGCACGTATCCAACATGCACAATAAAAATAGGTGGGTGGAAATGTAAGGCTAATGCGAGAAATACCGCTTCGTCTTTAAAAAAGGGGAGGAGACCGACAGAAACTTTGAGTTTAGAGAGTAACACCTGCTCCTGACCAGGTTAGGTTCATGGAGTAAGTTACCACGGAGTTCAAGTTACCTCTCTTTCAAAAAAAGGCTTGACTTACCCTGCTTTCTCGAGTTTAACAAACCTGCCATTTTGAAATGGAAAACCCAGGTTTTCATTTAACCTCCTTTCTGAAACGGGGCCCTTGTCTGATATAGTTTTTATTTCTACTTTAATGCCAAATTTGTTCCAGCAGAACTCAAATCTAATAAAGTCTGACCCCGTATCACTTAATTTCAGCTATGTTCTTTGGTTTGGGGTGTCGAGGTGAGGAGATTTTTCAAATGTGGGAGATAAATCATCCCATGTGATGAATACTTGATGAATACTTTCATTCTAACATTTGCGGTACAAATGATGAATACATTAAATGGATCTAAAGTAACACTGACAATGCTTAAAAATTTACAAAAGATTTGTTTTTTAGTTGCAAATCCTGAAACGTATCAGTTTCCACACATAAGCAGCAGAATGCTTCTGAAATTAAGCTAGAGCTGGAGTTAAATCAGGAATAATAGGGACTAAATGTTCAGTCAGCTTTTACATCACAGTAACGTTTAGTTATTTATATATTTATTCAGCCCAGTTTTGCACACAGCAATATCTACAGTAGTTAACATCTGAAATGTATCAAAAACTATTAAACACTTCAAATATTTACTTCTGTATTTTGTATATGGCAACTTTTCTTTATATGTAAAACTAGTAAAAGCTTTCAGTAAAGATATTGATGATTTAAATGTATTTAAATGAAAATGGTCATACAAAGTTTGGTAACTTTGACATTTCTAAAGTTGCTTATTTTTCCCAACAGTGATTCAAGATATAAGAAGAAAACTGGAAGAGGAGATTCAGCAAAAATGATTTTTTTTTTTTAAGAACATTTCAGGCACTTGTCATTTGTTAAGACAAAGTCCCTTTCTAAGGCACTCAATGAAATACCCATAATACACAAACAAACAATAAAAAAAGACTTGTGGTTCATTCTTAGTAGTTCCTACATGGAATAGGTAATCTGGTTGGTTTGGTTATTGATGATTTGACATGATCCAGGATTGTTTCGTTCTTCAAAACTCCTTTGAGAGTTGTTGTCATAACCTGCTTGGGAGCAGGTTTATTTCATATAAATAGGATTGGATTGGATAATTTCAAGCAAAGGTGATACTGAAAGTGTGTAGCAAATGCTGATTTGCTTACAGTAGTAACCTACAGGTTCTAAACACGGATAGAATAGTTAAAACGTATAAATATATACTTATAAATAAAGCTGTTATGCAATCTACACTCTCAAATAAAAGTACAAACACTGTTATGGAGTGTTCTTACCCCAAGGACTTCAAAGAGAACATGAATTAACTTTTTAGATACAAAAGTGTACTATTTTAAGATATTAGCTGTAGTACAATTTGTGTAATAATAGACATGGCCAATATATATATATATATATATATATATATTTTTTTTTTTTTTTAAGTAATAATTATTGCTGTCGTGCACATGTTTTGACAGCTAACATGTCGGTGATTTGATGCTTCGCAAAAGTTGCAGACACTTTTACCAATATCAAAATGCTTTTTTAGATGCAAAATTATTTTAAACTGCCATTTGTTAAGATACTTGAATAGGCCTACTATGATAAATAAATTCCGCTCAAAGTAAAACTAAATAAATTGCTAAATACCTCTCGCCACATGAAAGTGTAAAGCCTGCTGCCCACAACAAATGTGGAGAGTTATTGCGTATCATACTCTAGCTATTTAACACCATTTACGTCAAATTTTATGTCCACATGGATGATTGAATATTAATCAGATGATGTCATTATGCTGCTGTGCTGATCATGATTTCAAGGATCGATAGATCTGTCCTTCAGAAGACCCGCAGCAATCTCAGATCAGTTCATCAAAATATTTTAATCTGATTCATGAACTTGTTTGAAGAACCAGTTTAGCCAGAGATCAGTAACCAAGATTAAAAGAGCCAGAATCTGTTTAATCATCTTAGATCATTTAAGCAAAGTATGAAGAGCAGACCCCTAGGGGTCCTATTGGGGATTATTAAAGCCTTTTGAACTAATCAGTGTTAATGAAGTAACCATATGAGTTCCATTGTCCAATTAAGGGTTACCAACTGATGTTAGTTAATTAAGCTGCAGCCTTCACCTGCCCTATAAAATCAGACTATTATCTATAATTGGAAATGTTTTTTTTTGTTCTACATGTTATACAGTACAGAAATTCCTGTAACATTCTACAGTAGACGCAAAAAGAAATACAAAAAGGCAGAATACAAAAAAAAAAAAAAAAAATGGCAGAATACAAAATATTTATTTTGAAAACATGAAAAACAAAACGATATATTTGCTCTACAGTATTCTAGGTCAAGGTGCTTAGAAGCAGTTTACATGTGTGAATCCTGTCCAGTCAACTACACATGACATCTACAACAGTATTTACAAAGAGGCCAAAGTGTAGGGATGTGTTTTAGTGCTAATTCCTCCCAGAAAAGTTGGCATGAGAAATATTAAAACTGCTAAAAAATAAACTCAAACCAAGGATGAACTGACTAAAAGCAGCAGTGCTTGACAATAGTCTAAAATGGAAAAGGTCTTAATCTTTCAGTATTCAGGCAGTGGACTTTGCCAAAACTGATCAAGCAGTGTTAACCCTTCTTCAGTGGTAATAACTCAACTTTGACCTAAAGGCAAGCGTTAACGCTTTCAGGACAGACTGATCTCACCATTGTCATCCTTGGCCTCAATAACTTTAAACACCCCATCTTTCTCCTGTTTAACACGCTTCTTGGCTTGATCTGAAAAAGGAGATTACAACATTAAACACTATGCAGTGCATAATACACACGGATATTGCTATCTTAATGACATCGATACACTTACCCATTAAATCACTGCGGTCCAGCAAGATCTGCAGATCTTTGTCGCTGATGACCTTTCCTTTAGTGCCTTTCACTGCCCTGCAATAATTTACAGTTGCGTCAGGACAGTCTGTACAGTGACACAATTTACAGTGCAGAAAAACACTATACTCTGGATTACAACACTGCAGAAATATATTAAAGAATAAATAACTGTACCCGTCGTAGTCTCTGGACTTCAGTAGTTCTACAAGCTCATCAACATCCAAGCAGCTCTTGCTTTGTTTTAGTTCTGCTTTAGAGCCTTTAAACTTGTCTAAAAAGACAAACATAAGATGCAAAACATCAACGGATAATGAAAACACAACAACAACAAATGAAGCTCTTACATTTCCAGGTTTCAAGATAGGCAAGTTTACTTATGAGTAGGGCCAGACGGAATCTGCGGACGTTTTTTGCTATTTCTGCTGAGAATTTTGTTAAAAATCTGTGGATTTCTGCAGAATTATTTTGAGTATCATAACTAAAACCTTAATATGTGAAAAATAAAAATTATTTTAACTTAAATGTTTAAAATGCAAATCCAATTAGATTCACTTTATTTGGTAAACAAAGCAAGTCTCTCATATAATAGATCTAAGAAAATATTACTGCACAAACTGCATTGTACATAAATCAGAAGAACATTTTCACATTAGACAATATTACTGTAATTAATTGAAATAAATAAACTGTAAATAAATAAGTAAACTGTAAATAAACTGAATAAATATAGATTTACACACATTGTAAGTAAGCAGATTTAATGATGGGCTAAAAATCTGTGGAAAATCTGCAGAATTCTGCGCGCGCAGTTTCCTGTGTGGGCCTACTTATGAGCAGAGAATGGGAGAGTACCACAAATATTTTTCTTAAATGGCAAAAATCTGAGTTTATTAAGTTATCAAAAATAATAAGAGAATGATGTCAGAAAGTGCATTAGAAACATCCCTGCATTAGCATTAACTAGCTTTTTGTAATGTGTTGCAAAGCTGAAATAGTAGTGATGTAACAGATCACAAATCTCACGGTTCGAATTACACTACAGTTAAGTCACGGATCTGATTATTTTTTTGAACAGCAAAACAAAAAGACGAAAAATGTCAATTGCTTTCTATTTATGCAAAAATATTACTGCAAAAACCATTGGTTTTAACAAACAGAACTTAGAACCTGTCATTTTAATGAAAAAAAGAAACACAAAAAATGATCTCTGCCACTGTTGCTGATAATGCTAAATATAGAAATCTAACATGTTGTACAACATATCATATTTATTTTCAATTAATGATTCAACTATTCAGACTTAAAACGTCACGTTTCATCATAGGTGGATCATTTTTGAAATTCTATTCAGTGACATCATTTTAATGGTTGTTTGTCGCCACCTATTGGTTAATGTAATTGCTACAACACCAGCGTCAAGTTCCATTAAATGGTAATTTTTAATCTTTACCATAAACATCAGTGTTAATATCTGAACTATAAACTATTTTCCTGTACTTCTGTTATTTATTTGTTTGTTAGTAACTAACTGAAAAAGTGTAAAACTGAATCCCTCTCGATCAAACATATATTTGGATGCAGCGCTTCGAAGGATTAATATATGCACATCGTTATCATTTCTTGTTTATGTTGTGTGGGTTTGAATTGAGATCACGACCTTTTAAATGTTTAATTGTGCAGCTTTACACTGAATGCATTAATGTAGGCTAAACAAACAGGTTATTAATTCAAGGTGTTTTCTGTCACTAAATAAGCATTTAGGTCCCACTTTCCGTCATCATATTTTACAGGGAAGCCAAAATGCTTTCATACACTTTATTTGAATGTTGCGGGAGGCGATCTCTCTGCAACTGTTATAAATGTTGGATTGACCTACAAGTTCAAAAAAGAAATTAATCTGTGCATCACGTGCGTTCCGAACTGTGGGTTGTGATCCGTACAAATCAGATAAACCGTGATTAGTTACAACCCTAGTTAGTTCGAATGCAACTTTCATTCATTCATCTTCAGCCTAGTTCTTTATTTATCAGGGGTCACAGGGATCCGTTACATCCTTATGAAAAAGAGTAGTTTAATAAATGTTGAAAAAATATTGTATTTCGTTACAATACTTAAGATGCTGATAACTGCTGAAATCTGTTTTTTTAAAGGGTGCAGTAAATGCTATGCTTTAGTTATTAGACCATCTGTGCTTTTCAAAGTGATTATTGCTTTTAGCAGTTGCTGCATACTTTTGTGAATGACCATCTTTTCTAGCTTTCTCTTGGCAGAAGCTCTCTCCAGAATCTTCTCATCAATGGTGTTGGCCGTAATGAGACGGTAGACCACCACAGGCTTTGTTTGCCCAATACGGTGACAGCGATCCTGTGCCTGCAAATCTGCCTGAGGATTCTGAAGATAAAAGAGAGAGAAAAAAAAAAGCTAGTTAGAGGCTTTCCACTCACAAAAAATAAATAAATATATATATATATATATATATATATATATATATATATATAAAAATCAAGAAAGTGCTTGTGAACATCTAAAATTACCCAATCACTGTCAAATATGATGACCGTGTCAGCAGATGTCAGGTTGATTCCAAGGCCACCAGCTCGAGTGCTCAGGAGAAAAAGAAACACCTCTGGATCTGAAGAAAACTTCTTCATCTGCAAAGAAAAGGGAAAAAAAGGTAAAAATAACACATTTAAAATAACTGACACTAACTATACAGTAATGGCAACTTCTGTTAAACAACAAAACACTACTTACATTCTCATCACGGTCAGCGTAACTCATTGACCCATCCAGTCTGCTGTATTCGTAACCCCTGAGATAACAGTAATCCATCAGAATATCCAATATGGAGGTCATCTGGCTAAAAATCAGCACCTATTTTCAAAAACATGTATGCTATTAAACAAATCAAGTTTGTACATCACTTTTCACAATAATTGTTCTAAAGTAGCTTTATAAAACATGCACGTTATTGCATTTAAGCATGCTCAAAATAACCGTTTTAACTGAAAGGGTGCGTTTTTAACTGAATATTATTTGTTAAATGGCTTTAAAAAAAAAAGATTATTCTATATATTTTTAAAGTTTGGCTGCATAAGGTATGGATCATAGTAAACATGCTTTTTGCATTGAGAAGAGCATTTTTTGAATGGTTTACTAACGTCCGCAAGTTTTGTTTTGCATGCTGCTAATGCACCCTGCACACCTTGCATTTTTGCCATTGCGCGTTGTGCTCACAGTTGAAAAAAAAAAAAAAAAAAAATCAACCCCGAGCAGAAAAAGTGTGTTACGTTAGTACACTAGTCTCTCCTCCAAGTTATCCAGAGCTGTGACTTTACAAATCTTGAATATCACAATATTATTAAATATTACAATTATAGCAAAATCAACAGCAACACTCGCACACAATACGCAGCTGAATCAGTCATTTCGTAATGACTTGTGCGTGCGTGCGTGTGTGTGTGTGTATATGTATGTGTATGTGTATATATATATATATATATAAATAAATAAAGAGGCAGTGCGGTGCACCTTGTGTTTTTGGAACGGAAAGACATGTTCTGTGTGAACGGACCCTCGCAGGACAGTAACATGTGCAACCACACACTCATACAGATGTATTTTTTCAAAGAATTAAAATGGAAAAAGGATATCGCTGGTCACTGTTTGACAGACGAGTTGATGCTAAACAACAAAATTATATGTTATAGTAGCCTATATTTTACAAAAAAAAAACAAAAAAAAAAACATAAAAGCCTCGTCATAGTCTTTTATCACATGCAGCGCGCACACGATTGAGTGAGAGGAAATAAAAGCAAAGAAGCTCGAAGGTAAAATCTGATGCTCAAGACAATCTTTAATGACTAATATTAAAAATGTTGACAGAGGCTCGTGATATAAGAATTAGAGCGGTGCACTAATTAAATGCATAGGCCTGCAGAAGAAAAAAAAAAAAAACATGATTGGACAAACAGTATATGCTGGTTCTTAAAAAGGATTCAGTGTTTTTGTTTTCTAATCTAAATTTGTCCTTTAAGTGAAAAATATCTAGAACAGGCCTATTTATTTTATTCTTTTTATTGTTTTTTTTTCTATGCTGTAGGAAACACTGCAGTTGCGTGAAGATGTTAAAATAAATCAGTATTTTAAAATGCAGTATTTAATGTGAATAGACACATCCATTTATTTATTTTTATTAAATAATATATCAATATTTATGAGTATCTGATGAATTAACCATTAACATTCGGTTAACAAGCTGTGGTTGTTGGCTGGCAAAATTAACCCAAATGAGCATCCCTAATTACATTCAAAATCTGAAAAAGTTCAAAAAGTGGACAACACAGCTGTCGAGCACATGCATAGTTAATCAGCAGTTGTTTATTGAAGCATACTTTTTTAAAAAGTGTTATTTGTGTATTAAACAAAGCAAAAATTACCATGACTTGAATAACTAGCACATTTAATCAGCAAGTAAGGATTAAATTGATTAAAAAGGAAATCTGTCTTTTGATCAGCATATTAGAATGATTTCTGAAGGAATTTGACACTTTTGTAAACAATAATATAAAGCCTACAATTTTTGTTAACTTCGGAAACGAAACATGCTGCATTGAGTGGATCATTGAGTATGCAATGTATCATTCAGAAAAAAATTTTTATAAAAGGCAATTAAATATGCACATGATTAGCTTACAACCACAATGGAGTTTGACACTAACTGATACAGTTGTTAATCATTAAAATGCATGCATGTATTGTTGTGACCTTTACCTTGTGTCCTCTTTTTTTCAGTTCAGGAAGCATTCTGTCCAGAATAAGAAATTTCCCTGAGGCTTCCACTAACTGTTCATCAATCTGTAACAGAAGATTACTGCCAGTGTTATCATTTCAATGTAGATGTGATCATTTCAAATGTAAAAAAAAGTATGTAAAATTCTCTGCAAGATACCTTAAAGTCTCCAGTTGTGGGGTCCAGAGGATACTCTATGAGGTACGCATGATTGCAACATCTCTTCAGCAGCATCAGGATGTTCTGCAGTTTCAAGTTGACTTGAGCATCAACTGGCATAAACACATTCACCACAGGAGTAGAGCTAAAGAGAAAGTAACCATCATGTCAAGAACTTTAATGCAGAGTTAAAACTTGCAATTGCCATATAATTGACTATTCATGACAAAAACAGAATTTCTGAAGAAAAAAAATAAATGAATCGCAACAGCATACAGTGATAACTGAATAAAAACCCTGCCAGAGGTAAAACAAAAACAGGAGGCAGACCTTGCCTGACTGTCCAACTCCTGCTGAACCTTCTCTAGGTACTTCTCAAGATCTTTCATAGAGTCAGTGTTTGGCTCTGTATAGTTCACCACCTTCCTGCTCCTGCGTTTTGGTCGGCCACTGGGTGTTAGGGGAGCAGGCGCCGATTCATCCTTGTAGTTATATAAGGCATTATGAATCAAACAAACAATAATTACTTGTTATGGCATGTAGAGTAAATCGTTGTCTAGCAATACCTCTATTGTGCATTATCCTCTTAACATTACTCTTAACACCCATTGACACTCACCTTCTCCTGACCCAGCAGTTTGGCAATAGTCTTGTTAACAATGGCCATGTAAAAAGCCTCTTGTTTGTTGGTTAGGGGTGCATACACAACAATCTCTTTCTTAGGTGGAACCTCCAGTGTGACGTCTGATTTTAATCTTCTCAGAAGGAAGGGCGTGAGGATCTGAAAACATTAACAAATGGCATTATTTTAATAAGCAATGATTATAATTGTAAGTACACTTAAATATAGATTTTATCCAATAGTGACAATTTGCTCCGTCTCAAGTGCCTCCAAACCTTTACAAGTTTAATTTTCTTGGTGGGAATGAGGAGCCACTGCCATCCATAGTAGGGCTGCAACAACGAATCAATTAAATTGCTAAAAATCGATTATTAAAAACGTTGGCAACGAATTTCATTATTAATTTGTGTCGCGTGACATAGGGACGTTTGATTATTAAAAAAAAAAAAAAAAAAAAACGGTTTAGATCGGTGCGGAGTGAACACGGTCTCTCTCGTGCACTGATACAGAGTTCGGCGCCTCACAGACAGGGATGAGGAAGGAAGTTTAACAGCAGGGTCCTACTTTGGTTCCAATTGAAGTGAGGACCGTAAAGTCCCTGGTGCTGATGTTTTACTCGTTATCCAGCTTGACAAGCATGACAAGTTAGTGTTAGCTCATTTACCTTTAGAGTGGCAACTGAGAGGGAAGGGAAAAAAATAAAAATAAAAAAATTTCAAACTGAGCTTTGGCGCGGTATCTGGTGCGGAGCCAGAGAAAGCTCGCGCTGATCAGAGATCTCAGTAAGGAACCACCAGAAAAGTGCTTCTTTTTTCGTTTTTTTTTTTTTTTCCCCCCCCAAAAACAAAACCAACTTAACCTCGCTGAGAAAGATGTGTCATATCACAATTATGCAGTTAAAACGCTGCCTAATGCCAAATGTATGGTTTTTAACATTTTAAACATTTAGAGTTTGTAATACACACAAGAAAGTCTAACAATCCATTCAAATAAAAATTTTCGATGTGTTTTATTGATATTAGATACACATTACACATAGTGAAAGTAACTATAAAGTTGAATCTACTCTTCTCTAAGTTCACCAGCCACTTACTTGAATCCTGTGTGCAGTGTTTCCTCTGAGATTTTTTCCAGCTGTGGCGGCATGCCTTACACAAATCTACCAAATACCTATGGCGTTATTTAAATGACATATGGAGAAATGTGGCGAGCGCCGCATTACACGGGATCGCATTTATGTAATGTTAATACGAGCATGCCAATCTCTGCTTGCGCGCTGATTTCCTCTGTTCGTGCACAAAACTTCTTGCATGCCCTCAAACATGCTGCTCAATCGCAGATTTACCAGTGCTCTCATATAAATACTGCTGATTGGCGATTTAGTGCGTTTTTGTTGCGAGTATGTCTCCAACATTTATTAGATTTGCTAGGAATATTTATGAATGTTTCCAATAGATCTACAAATCAGTATTAATGCGTCCTGGAGTAAAGTGAAACGGCAATAAACTCAAGCAAGATACCAGTAAAGTCATTGTATGCAGAATCACAGACCTTTATTCATAAATAAAGTATAATTATGAAACTGTTCATCTTAACTGAAAGCTATGTCGTGTTTGCTGGCCTCACGCATTGCGCACCTGTCAATAAGACAGTCAGTCAGTTAGTCAGCACATTACCTTAAAGTGTTAAACGAATAGCGCACAGCCCTACTAACTTACAGTAACAGAATAGTTCATGCTGTTATAATTCACTTACCTTTTAATGCATTGTGGTGCGATTATAACCCGCTATTAAAAACAACGACAACAACGAATAAATGTTTTGAATTAATAAGAAGCTGTAGCCGTGTCGAGATAAATTTTGGTGTGGTGCCCCACCATGGAAGAATGAATGTAGCGAAAACCATGCTGTGTGTTCTGCTTTTTATGAATGAGTCAAACGTGCGGCCGCATATAAACATGGCAACGACCATCTTATGTTATAGATCACGATCACGTTTAAGTGAACTGGTAAAACTTTTGTTTAAGATTATATTTCATTATAAATATTTTTCTTACCCAATTTGCAAATAATTTAACTTGTTTTAAGCAAACAATCACTTAATTTTAAGATGTTTTTTTTTTTCAGAAAACAAGACAATTTCTCATGCTATTTCATGTGTCTAGGATGTATCTTAATTTAAAAATATTTCGATATTAGGATTAAAAACAGGACAAAACTACTTAGTTTTTAATTTTATTATTATTATTATTATTATTATTATTATTATAACAGCTCAGGGATGAGCTTTTTTGAATAAACGGTTGGAAATTAATGCTTTTTTTTAGCCGATTCATTGATTAATCAAAAAAAAATTATCGAAAGTCTATTAAAAAATTATTAAAATAATCGTTATTTGCAGCCATAATCCATAGTAGGATATTTTTATGAAAGTCAATTTTTAACACTTTAAAAAATATGTTCTTTTGTGTTCAGGAGAAAAAACAAAAAACTCAAAAAGGTTTAGAAAAAAGGGAGAATGTGTAAACGATGTTAAATTGTTGGTACATTCAATAATACTAAATGCTCTAGCTGTAAACTATAAGGTTTAGAGGAAATTATACAGAATTTAAAAAAAAATCTTAACGTGAAGATACCTGATGAAGCATGTGAAGAATATTCTGCTCTCGCTCGTTAGCCACAATATTTTCAGCATCTGAAGTGATGGTGCTGATGTCAAACCAGGATTCAAAACTGAGGGGAAATAATTATCAAATGTTTAATCTGGTGTATTAAAACTCTCAATCTTAAATCAAGAAAATGTTTCACTCCTAAAAAGAATCAGAATGGTGGACAACAATATCCCGAGTTCCCTTTGCATTTCTCTTCTTAGTTCGTACCTCTTCAGGTCATCAAACACATCAGGAAGGAGGAAATTGAGGAGTGACCACAGCTCAGACAGGTTATTCTGGAGGGGGGTTCCTGTCAGGAGCAATTTATTGTCAGTCGGCAGCATCTTCAGTTCTTGCACCAGACGACAGTTCAAGTTTTTAATCCTGTGACCCTCATCCACAATCAGATAGTTCCAGTGGAAACGCTGAGGAGAGAAACATGAGAACAATAAAACCTAGTCTGCCAAAAAAAAAAAAAAAAAAAAAAAAAAAAAAAAAAAGAGTTGGCAAAAGGATAATCGTACTTTTTCAATTGAAAAATAAGCCTATGTTTTTATTTAGGAGACCTTAAAATGAATAACTATCCAACCATGACCAATACAAGTAGTCTATGCAACCAGCCGCCAATTAATAACAGATTAGTTTCTGTACCAGATAAAAGGCTGTATCGGTTTACCTGAAGAAACTTCCGGTCTCTCATGGCTATTTCAAAGGATGTAACAACAACAGGGCACATTCTGAGGGATCCCTGGTGCTGACGGATCTTTTTCACCAGGTCCAACCTCTCTTTTTGAGGTCCATGATACAGCAGGACAGACACCTTAAAAAAAAAAAAAGAACAAACGTGAGATAGATGAAACCTCTCAAACTGTTAGCTGTTGACATCTTAAAGCATCGATTTAAATGAGAAGAGCTACAGTTACTGTTCAATACCTCTGGAGTGAAACGCTTGAATTCTGAAATCCAGTTTGGAAGAGTGGACAAAGGAGCCACCACTAAGAAGGGCCCAAGGACCTTTTTCTCAACCATCATTGCAATATGTGCGATGCACTGGATGGTTTTTCCAAGACCCATCTCATCAGCCAGGATGCCGTTGATGCCATTTTCCCACAGCATCTAACAGACAAGAGTAGTGAATAAGAAAACTAGAACATCTTTTTCGTGTGACTTGCAAGTATGAGTGAAGTTAAAGGAGTTTAGTTAGAAATAAACATGAAGCAGAGGTATTCAAACCTGCTCCTGGGAACCCACTGTATTGCAAAGTTTATTTCCAATCTGCTTTAGCACGTGTATTTTCAAATTGACCTCAAGAGCTTGTACAGCTGCTTTTGGTGCGTGCGCCATTAGGGTTGGAGCTAAAATCTATTGTATAGTGGGTCTCTAGAAGCAGAGTTGAAGACTTCCAAATCATTCATATAATAAAAATGCACATTAAACTTCAATGGAGACACTAAAAAAACAACTCTACTGCCCTCTGCAGGTCATCTACTCAATCAAAACTGTTTTGAGTTTTCAGAGAGCATGCACTTACCCTGAGCCACTCTATGCCTTCCACCTGGTACCACCTCATCACACCCCCAGTAAACAGTTGGGGCTGCTGTGCTGGCACAGGTTGACCATTCACCGTTCTTTCTGGATCCAGCATCTGCTTGCTGTTCTCCCTTAAAGTCTCAGAGAGTCGACCTTTAATATCAGAGTTTGTGTCACTTAGCTTCTCTATATCCTCAGCCTCCAGTTTTACTGATGCTTGAGCCTCCTTCAGGAGAAGAAAAACAACACTTGAGAACAATGACACCAATGTACAGCAAACATTGCATTACCGAGTCATGTAGTGTAACGGCTAGACAGCTGGTAAGATAGGCAAGCTCCTTGTCATCAATACAGAATGCGCACACAAGGGTGTTTAAACAGTTTACAACAAGTTCAAATGATGCTCATCCAATTAAAATTCTCTCAAAATATAATTTTAAATGTATGAAAAGGCAAAAAATAAATAAATCAAACTTTACCTCTTCCATTTTGGGCTTTTTGGCTTTTGACATAATTTCCTTAAAATAAAAGTATACACATTAGTAATATAGCAATGACACGTCAATTTAAAGCAAGCTAAAAATAGATGCTCACCTCTTTTGTCATCACATCTGCAATTTTGTAATCTTCCCTTCCACGCTTCTTTCTCTCAACTTAACATGTAAGAAATAGATCAGTATAATTGACTACTTTTTAAACATCGCATCCATACATACACAGAATCATAATTTACACCCCATACTGAAATGCGTCTTCTGAAGCTTACCTTTTACAGTCTTTTTATCACTGCCCTGTGGGAGAGAAAATTAAAATTCAATCAGTCACTTTATCTACCCTTTTAATACGAGCAACAATGTGTGACAAACCATGATAGAACATTACCTTTTGCTTCAGAACAGCAGCTTTCTTTTCCAGTCTCTCCTTTTTAAGTTTTTCCTATTGTTGGAAATATGATGTTAGTTTAGTTTCTTAGTCAAACACAAACATGCACAAATACTAGGGATGCTCCGATTGATCGCCATTGGCCGATAATCACATTTCATGACTAGATCAATACTCGACAATCTCATGAACTGATCACAAATGTTTGTTTACGAGTTTACAAGCAGAGGACACATACGAACTGAAATCTTTTTAAATATCAGAATTGAAAGTTCTGTATTTTCAACAATATTGCAAGTTCATGAAAACCTGGCTGGAAGTATTAGGGAATAAAAAAAAACTAAATTATTTTCAACTTGAATATTTAATAATATAACTTTTAGTAATACATTTATTGCAATAAGCAGTAGGTTCTGGACCTATTTCCTTTTAGTAAAGAAGTAATTGATTTACAGGTGTGCATCAAATATGCATTTCAAACTTGATTGAGACATGTTGAATTATTTTTCCATCATTTGCAATGTTTCTAAATTACCAATTATTTTTTGTTTCTGTTTTATCTATTATTTTCTGAAAAAAAACTGCTTCTGACCACACTAAATGGTAATAAGATATGCAACATTTGTAATTTATTATCTTAGGTAAGGCAAGATCTCCACTTAAGTATCATACTTAGAGGGAAAATGTGCTTTATGCATTATAAAGCTTGAAGCATCAGAATTGGTACTAGGTATCGGTTGATCACCATGACAAGAAATTGGTACTTGGTATCAGCTGCAAAAATCCTGATCAGAGCATTCCTAACAAACACATGTACAATTATTATACCAGAGCAATTCCAGCGTTGCAGATGTGACATTTGCAGTAAAAATTCAAAACATAAATTCACATAAAGAGTATACATTAACATTATATTGAAACATCTGTTTATATTCTCTAAAACAACTAAACCACAGAATTATGAGTTTAGAAAAATATAATCTGTAAACATTTTTTAGATTTTAAATGAGGAAAATAAACATGCGTGATAGATGTGACCAAAAAAGTTAGCAGGTTTACATTGTACAACATACTAGGGCTGGGCGATTTAGCCTAAAATCAAAAACTCGATTTATTCAACATTTTAACTTGATTGCGATTAATAAACGATTATTTTATCTATTTTTTCCCCCTCATAGTTCACTGACAAGTTTTGTAAAGTAAATATACTCATTTTACAAGAGAGTGATTTTTGACTAAAGGGTGCATTAGTTGATTCTAAAACAATTGAAGGAAACACACCCTACAGCATCTACTATTTATGACTATTTACTTCAACTTTGAACAACTAAAATTAAAACACATTGCTTAAAACAGTCACTCTTTAGTATAAAAAAGTGAAAAACTAAATTATTATTGTTATTGTTTTTCATATTAAAAGTAGAAAATAAGCAACATCTCTTCTAAATAAAATACCTGTATTTTAAAAATAATATTTAACAGTGCATTTATTGAATGTTCTGTCAACAAATATTTTAATGAAAATTATTTTATTGTAATGGAAAATATGGCGTCTAATGTAATGTAATGCAAACGTGCAATGTGTAGTTACATTTTTTGAGAGATGCTCAGGTATAAGACCCCGCGAAGGCTGCGCCGGACCATACCCGTACACTCGACACAGAAGTATAAATCAGTCTTAACAGAGTGTGGTCACATTTTCGTAACTCAAGGAAAGTAATTGGAAAAATTGAGTTGGAAAGACTAGATCGATTATAGGTTCTGAATGTCGATTTCGATTATTTTTCAATGAATTGCCCAGCCCTACAACACACTTTGTAGAAATTCTGTGAATTAAACTGCACAAATAGATAAGAGTTGCCTCACTATAGAACAAAAATTATTGACTTTATTTGACATTTTTGCATTTATGAGGAAAAAAAAATATCTGTTTTGAGGAAGACATCTCTTTGTAATGGACAGATTTCACTTGTGCGACTTTGGTAAATTAAATATAATAGTTTGAAAACATTAACAGACATTAAGTGTTTTTAAAAGTACTGTAAAATGCTTGCTTACACAAAATGTAGAAACGGTTTTATCATTTTTTTTACATGGCATGGTTGACATTTGCATGGAATTGCTCGGCAAGAACACGGTTGACATGAGCATGTTGCATCTCTCTGCTTATTATAAACTTAAAAATACTTGACAATCATAAGTGTTCTAGTGCAGTGGATTTCTCAGATGTTTTCATGATCAGTGTCAAAATTAAAAATAAACAAAGGCTTTATTCTGATCCTAACGGGCCTGTGATTAAAAAACACTGTACACTCTGTAATGCGACACAATAGGGCAGGTGGTGCAGAGCAACGGTTGCATTTGATTGGCTCCTTCACAGCTCCCTTTATCGCAAACATCTGCATCTGTGCCCCTTCACCAGTTTACAATGCATTTCAGTTAAACACTCAAGCAAGATTTATTTGCGGAAATGGTAAACCTGCCAGTTTCAGCTCTTTCCTGTGTACTGAACACAATACATACCTCTTGCTGCTGCTGCTCCATCTTTGTAAGAAGAAACTTTGAGTAAATGTTGCTTTTCTCCAAAAGGTGCTGAAGTCTTTTGAACCGCATTTCTTGAGAATCGTTCCCCCTGGATTGTCTGGCCTGTTAAAACAACATGCAGCATAATATAGACTTTTATTATACAGTGAATAATAGTGTCTGATACATTTATTTATACTGAATAACCTAAATAATGAAAATACTGAATAGTGGAACAAACATGAGGGTTTCACAGTTATGCAGAAGAAGATATTATTGAGGTAAAGTTGGTTTTATATTCACACATTCCTTCAGTGACAACTTGTGATTTGCTCCAAAAACCTTTAATAGAGGTAAAGATGATTTTATATTCAGATATTCAGACATTTTCCTTAATAAAATAATTTCAGAAAAGTATTCTTTGCAAACTCTAAATAGGAAAATCATACAAGCAGCCAGTGATCATCAAAGCACAACATTGTTCACAGTCAATTAGATAGTGTTAATGTTGTTTTGAAGTCATTCTTGCATGCTAATTTCGATCGAATATTCAAAGTAACATGGTAAACAATATAAAGACTTCTAAATGAGCTAATGTGCAAATATAAAGTCAACTTTACCCCTATCATTGTTTACCACGCTACTTTGAATATTTGGTCTGAAATCATATGCAAGTGTGACTTCAAAACAACATTAGCACGATTTATTTGACTTTACTTTGATAGTCATTGGCTGCTAATATGATTTTACTATTTAGAATTTGCAAAGGAAACTATCCTGAAATGATATTAAAGAGAAAGTCCATATGTGTAAATATAAAACCAACTTTACCTCAATGAAGATATTTATCATGTTATTTTAAATATGGGAATGTAGAACAGCAACCACATTAATATTTAAAAAAAAACTATTGTTGAACAATTTACCTCCTCCATCATTTCTCTTTCTTTTTTCTCTCCCTCCTCTTCTAGATTCTTTTCTTCTTCCTCCATCTCTTTGGTAATGACCATCTCTTCATGCTTGCTTTTTTCTGTAATATGTAGGATATAGTTAATGCAGCACAGACACGTTTGACACCATTAAGATTTCCCGTGTGTTTTACCCACCCATTGTGGTCTCCTCAATTGTAGTGCCTTCAGGCTCTTCAGATTCGTTAGGTTTGGGGCAGTGGGGAGAAATACTACGAGTCTCTTCTTTGACAATCCTGCAACATGAATGTTGAACCATCAAAAACATACATCTCTGTCAACTCAACATACTGATAGAGGTAAAGTTGGTTTTAAATTCAGATATTGGTTTTAATTTCAGAAAAGTATTATTTGCAACTTCTAAATGAGGTATTTATATAAGCAGCCAATGACTATCAAAGTACAGCATTGTTTACAGTCAATTAGATAGTGCTGTTTGAAGTCATAACTTGCATGCTAATTCTGACCATATAGACAGCTAAATGAACGAAAGTGCGAATATAAAACCAACTTTACCTCAATATCATACTGTATGCACAGTAAATGCACTTACCCACTCATTTCAGCTGCTATAAGGGTAGCTGGGTGCTGAATTAAATCTCTCGAACCTTACCAAATATGTGCAATGCAGTCCAGTGTGTAAAGCAAGAATGTCTCACTAATGACCCGATTAGCTAACATACAACAAAGCCTTACACAACAAAAGCGCGGGACCGTTTCGTAACAGCAGAACGCAATGCAAATTAATGCATTAATGTACTTTAACTTCACCCGGTTTTGCAAAATATAGATTTATAAAAGCACTCTATTAAAAGCAGCTGAATTTGCGTCACACAGCCGGTAGATACACCACCTCGCGTGTGTAACGTGAAACGTGCAAAGACGTTTCGCGCCACTGTGGACTAAACCATCACAGCTTATATTTGTAGGGGTGCATGTCCAACAGAAGTCGTTTAAAGAGTCGCTATTTTCAATGCTATTGAAAAATGTGATTTCGTACAACATATTTATCACTTATAAGATCGCTAAGTGATTTTAATCGTAAAATACGCAAGCGAATAAATCTAAGATTTAAAGACTTAGTAATTTCAATCCCCCAAACTGCTGTACGTATGCAAACAATCTAGTTGATATTTCCCGCGAAAGTAGAGTTCATTCAGTGCAATATGAGGAGGGCTACAAGATCTTTTCTTTCATCTGTCCCTCGCACACACCCAAACACCCTCAAAGACACGTTTTATTCTTTTATGCATTGAATAACTAAACGTATACCTTATTTATGGCAATTAAATGTGGTTATAGTGGTAATCACTCAGGAGATTCAATATTTTCCCGAGAAAAGTGAGTATATTTTAGAATGTGTTTATATCTCTTACAGTCTAACGTTATTTTACACTGACCGTATTTTCCTATAGGCCTACCCATAACCTTACACACAATTAATCTTAACAGAACTTTCTGCGTTTTACCATATTTGTCAATATATATATATATATATATATATATATATATATATATATATATATATATATATATATATATATATATATTCTCCAATATGAGGTAAGTATGCCACTACCTTTTCTATCGCTGTGGCTTTTGTAACCGTGAAATTATAATTTTCAATCAGTTAGTCTGGTCTATATTTTAAAGAACTTAATATGATACATAAGAAACATTGACTTCAACTGAACGAATAACTGTAGCTAAGTTAATTCTAGTTTCTGATAACGTTACACAAAATGTTGGGTGGAAAATTAACTCAACTGAAAGTGGAAAACTCAAACCTGTATGTCGAACTGAGAAGATGTGCAGAATAGTTGGCCACGTGCTGTCAGGTCTCACATTGCTCTCATCAGTTTTATTATTATGTAAAATTATCTTAACATAAATCTGGATGTTATAAAATAGCCAATACTTCGGTTCATACGGGTAAAAACAAATCATTGGGTAGCGGCGGAAAACACAATGTCAAATAGCTGCAACGTTTTGTCATTTATGCCCTATGTATTATTTTACCAACCGATATGATAATAACGGTTGCCAGGAAACGCAGCTGATAATCCAATCAAAATTTAGAGTAAGAACGTTTAACGAAAAATGTTCAGTATATTGAATATATGATATATTGAATAATATGATATATTTATAAAATAATAATAATAATTATATATATATATATATATATATATATATATATATATATATATATATATATATATATATATATATATATAATATTTTTTCCCCAGAGATGGGTTGCGGCTGGAAGGGCTTCTGCTGCGTAAAAAACTTGCTGGATAAGTTGGCGGTTCATTCTGCTGTGGCGACCCCAGACTAATAAAGGGATTAAGCCGACAGGAAAATTTATATATATATATATATATATATATATATATATATATATATATATATATATATATATATATATATATATATATATATATATATAGTGATTATTTTTTATTGCTAATACTATTTACTGTGTTTTTTATTATTGTGAATGTTCTATTGAATGGAAACTTTATAACTGCTTTGGCAATACATTTGCAACATTTCTCATGCCAATAAAGCAATTATTGAATTGTGTTTGAATTGAATTGACTGTTCATTAATACAAGATGATCTTCAATATATCATTCAATATATCATATTATTATTCAATATATCATATCATTCATATATTATTCATTTATAACAATAAAAATAATAGATCAGAATAAAATGTAGATTTAACAATCAATATGCTCTCTCTATCTCTCTCTCTCTCACACACACACACACACACACACACACACACACACACACACACACACACACACACACACACACACACACACACTCACACACATTTCATATTTCACATTTTAGGTGCTTTATGACATTACAAATAACTGTACATTCATATTGTCAAAGCAGTGCAGTGTCACTGTGTACAAACAAGACAGTGCGAAAAGGGCAGTATGCAAACAAATATGAATATAAAATATAATACAGAGAAAACACACAAAAATAGGATTAATAAATCTCTCTCTCTCTCTCTCTCTCTCTCTCTCTCTCTCTCAGTTCAATGCAATTATTGCTTTATTGTCATGACAAATTTTACAAATGTATTGCCAAAACATTTATAAAGTTTACAGGAAAAACATACATATAAAAAAAACATAGTGAACACAGTAAATAGTATTAGCAGTAAAAAAAAAAAAAAAAAAAAAAAAAAAAAAAAAAAAAAAAAAAAAAAAAAAAAATATATATATATATATATATATATATATATATATATATATATATATATATATATATAAAATCACCATAAGCCAGTGTCTTCTGATCAATTAGCATTTATCTTGAAGTCACAATAAAAACGAAATGATATATCATATTATTCAATATATCTTATTGTTATTCAATACTCACAATATTCATATATATCAATAAAATAGATCAGAATAAAATTTACATTTAACAATCAACATTATATTTACAACAATTTATTTATAATCTAGATATGTGTTTATCTCGCTCTCACTCAACTTCAGTAATAAATTCAGTTTACCACAAGGTGTCAGCAGAGAGTTGCTTTCATTTTGTCCCTTTCGAGTTCAAATTAGGTGAGCCAGACTCTCACTATTGGCTCTCATTTAATATTTACAGCAGTGGCTTAATTTAGAATAAAAATCTCTAACATAATATACTTTATAGTCTTGATTTGTTTCACACACAATTGTCTAAACTACTGATCTGTATTTATAGCAGGATTAATTCTTGACTCTGCTTTCCCTAACAGGTTTATTAATAAAATAAAATAAAAAATGCTTTGCCCTTTGCAAAGTGTTTATTTAGATATAGATTTAGATATATATATATATATATATATATAAATAATTTGTTATTCGAAATCTGGTTCATTAAAAAAGTAAATAAATAGAGACCCTTTTATAATCTTAGTTATGCATGCTCAGTGACTATAATTAAGCTTTGCTGAAAAACATCAGCTCATGCTTTATGGCTTTTAATTTGATTTTGAGTGCACACTCAGTGGACTCTGAACATAAGCCAACAGTAGTGAAACAAAGGTGGCTCTGAAATTCTTCACGCTTGATAAGAGCAGATCCATTTACAAAACAGCTTTTCGTCAAAAGACAGGACTCCCTCCTGCGCACTGTCCAAGAGCAGTCTTATCTTCCTTTGGTAGAGATTGTGCTCTGCGTCACGTGTCTGTTCAGTGATTCTTTGGCCTTTCTTCCTTCCTTCCATCTTGAAGAATGAAACGCTGTAGATGCCGCAGAAGCCTGAGGCCAAATCTTCCCAAATTATGCTTGAAATCCAATAGCCTCACATCCAACAATGGAAAAGAAAGTCTCAGGGGTTTGCATTCATTCAGGTCATCATAAAGTCCAATAGACATTTTATCAATGAAAATGTAATGAAATAAAATCACCATAAGCCAGTGTCTTCTGATCAATTAGCATTTATCTTGAAGTCACAATCTATAATCAAGGAATATACAAGTTAAGATCAGCTGACAGCATTTTTTACAATATATTATCACATAAAAATAATAATAGCATGACATTTTTTTAAAATTTAAATGTACTTTTACACTTGATCTTTTTCTTTAAGGAGAAACACATTGCTAAAGGTCTGTTAACGTGTACATTAGCATTTTATTAGCAACCAAAGAGTAACAAAAAGCTATTTTCTGTTTTATTCTTTATTAGTTGTTTTTTATATACAGTTGAAGTCAGAATTATTAGCCCCCCTGAATTATTAGCGCCCCTGATTATTTTTTCCCCAATTTCTGTTTAATGGAGGGAAGATTGTTTCAGCACATTTCTAAGCATAATAGTTTTAAAAACCTATTTCCAATAACTGATTTATTTTATCTTTGCCATGATGACAGTTAATAATATTTTACTTGATATTCTTCAAGACACTTCTATACAGCTTAAACTGACATTTAAAGGCTTAACTAGGTTAACAAGGTGAACTAGGCAGGTTAAGGTAATTAGGCAAGTTATTTTATAATGATGGTTTGTTCTGTAGACTATCAAAAAAAAAAAATAGCTTAAAGGGGCTAATAATTTTGTCACAAAAATAGTTTTTAAAAAATTCAAAACTGCTTTTATTCTAGCCGAAATAAAACAAATAAGACTTTCTCTAGAAGAAAACATATTATCAGACATACTGTGAAAATTTCCTTGCTCTGTCAAACATCATTTGGGAAGTATTTAAAAAAGAAAAAAAAATCAAAAGGGGGCTAATAATTCTGACTTCAACTGTATATTGGTTAAATACACTCATCAACCACTTTATTAGGTACACATTACTAGTACCGTGTTGGAATCTCTTTTGCCCTTAGAACTGCATTAATCCTTCGTGGCCTAGATTCAACAAAGTACTGGAAATATTCTTCAGTGATTTTGGTCCATATTGACTTGACAGCATCACGCAGTTGCTTCAGATTTGTCGGCTGCACATCCATGATACAAATCTCATGTTCCTCCACATCCCAAAGGTGCTCTATTGGATTGAGATCTGATTACTGTGGAGGCCATTTGAGTACAGTGAACTCATTAGACCCTTTCACAGATACACACCTTTACGGAAAATTACCGGCAATTTTCCGGAAAGGTGTGTATGTGTGAACAGGCCCTTTTTGAAAATACTGGTAAATTCTTTCTGGCTATTTTCCGGAAAGAGAAGTTGTAACATTACCGGTAATTTGCCGGAATGCTGCGCTGTGTGAATGCAGAAGGA